CGCCGCGCGCGCGGCGCACATCGAGCGCGCGAATTCGCTACAAATTTCCGAGAGTCTTTTCTTCTGGATTATGGTTTTCTTCTTGTCATTCTCGTTCAGCGAACATTTTTACACTCATATTTGCAAATCTAGATCTATAGAGAATTGGCTAGTTCCCTCTACCCCAAAATCTTTTCGAGTTCATGAGAAGAACTTCCGGTTATAATTTTTGTTTGGAGATGCATTTTTATTTTAGAGAGGATGATGGAGATCGACGTGCCATTGCCGCCAGCGGTGATCAACTTACCATGGGTGGAAAAATATCGTCCTGAATCCTTGACTGATATGATATCTCACGAGGAAATCATCAAGACACGTGTGTTTGTGCCTTCTTGACCTTTTTCAACCTTATTTTATTCCCTTTGTTCATTGTTTCACATGCTTTCTTCATAAGGATTACACATATAGTTCCACACATACATAAGACGCTTCAGAACACAATATCTATTTGATTCAGTCACTCGCTTTGTAAAATCGGACAAGCTGCCACACTTGTTGTTCTATGGGCCTCCTGGTACTGGCAAAACTAGTGCCATACTAGCAGTGGTTAACACAATGTACTCGGATAAACAGCGCAAGTCGATGGTTCTCGAGCTCAATGCCTCAGATGATAGAGGTATCGGTATAGTGAGGTGAACACTTCTGTCTTCTTTGTTTTCTATTTTTTTACTTACAAGGGAAGGATGGTAGGTCGAAGTGGCCGTTCGAAATGAAATGTATACCTCCTGATGCGTCTCCAGACGCTGATTCCAAATCTGCCTTCCAAATCTGCTAAACGACTCTCCGAACGGAGTTATGAAGCGTAATAGCTCAGTGGTGATGGTCCGGGGTGGCAGGTAAAAGCTCGTAGGATCGGTTCCTTTGCAAATTGGTTGCTTTGCTTTTGTCTCTAGAAGTGTTGCGGACAGATTGTTAGATCTTTGTGGAATGATGAAAGAGTTGTAAGCGTCTCTTGTGGGGATGGTGGGAGCAGTTTCCTATATTCAAATGTCCCATGACGGCGAATGGCTTGAGTATGTAAAATTTTGCACAAGTCGCCACAAGCATTGTACATCGTAACTCACATAACCGTCATCGTGG